TATTAAATTATATATAATAAAATGCATTTATTTATTTTTATTTTATTTTATTGAAGTTTTAATTATTATTATTTTTTTTTAATAGAAGGTTTTTACCGGGTGTTTTATCCCACGACTCAGTTTGAAATCGGTCATTTCAAAGCAAAGGCATTAAGATTCTTTATAATGGCTCATTTTTTATTGGAGAAGTTTAACTTTAATTAAACAATAATAGATAGAAAATATTAATATTCCGTGTTGCTACAAAATGCAAAGTGCTACAGCTTTCAAAATGTTTTTTAATGAAATGCTTTTTAATAAAATATTGACTAAAACGCACTATGTAATAAGGTTTCATTTTAAACTACTAACATTTACTAATACATTTTTTAAATCAAATGTCGTATCCATTAACATTACTTACATTAACATATATTTTTATGATATCATTAGCAAAATGTAATAAATTGTTGTTTAAATCCAAATTTGTATGTAATTTTGAGTTTATGGCGTTGCATTATCATGCCAACAAAGTTGTAAAATTATAATTTACACAAAAAAAAGAGTTACCATGTCTATTGTTTATGTCATGCACATATACTTTGTTACAATGTAAACTATATTAATGTTTATTTTAAAAAGTGTTTCTCTGGAACACAGTTTTTTTTTTTTAAGAGGAGGGACAAATGCATTCTTGTGGTATTCAACATTATGCCTCAAATGCATGGATTATGCTTATGAATCCTAGGCCTGTGAACACAACAGAGATGTTTTTTCCTTCAGCGGTACAGACTTCAAACAGCTACCACTGCTTTACAGACTACAGCCCAAGATCCAGTTCACATAAGTGCCACAAATACATTTTTGCCACTTTTCAGCCACGTTCTGCTTATATTTGAGGTGCTGGTAAATGAGCATGATTCATTCAGCTGTCAGTATGAAAGCAGGGTCAGATCCCTGTGGGGGCGAGTGACCTGTCGGATAAAGCCTCGCGGAGGCCAGCTGGACTTTAACTCGGTGTCAAGGACCCTTCTCATGCTGGCATTAACATAACAACATAACAGACTGTATTCATTAGGATCCGTGTTTGTGTGAGTGACGTGTGTGCCGTCAGGCATCTCTTCACCTCGCTCGCTTTCAGCGTTTGCCTTCAGCGTTCCTGCAGCATTACAGCCTGTGCCGTTCAAAATGCTGCGGGATTTAATGAGCCCAGCTGTAGATTACTCATCTCTAACAATGTCTGCTCACAGCGCTGGTGCATAGAAACACACACACA